GCCCCCACCCGGTAACAGTCTATATAAGGGGTCCTATTAGGGGCTATATAGAACCATATTGTATTTATTATCCAATTGTTACTGAGGGGGGCAATACCCAACCTAAACCCTAAACCGCAAACCCTAAACCCCTAAACCCTTAAACCCTAAACCCAAACCCCCAAAACCCTAAGCAAGCAAAGGGATTCTTCTTCAAAAGGAACCTCAGAGCTTGCAGGTGGAATCAGGGTTATGTGGTGTCCCAACCCCTAGCGCAAGCTAAGCAAAGCAGGGGCAAAGTCCATAAATTCGTTTAAGGATTAGGGTTGTTAGGGTTTAGGGTTTAGGGTTTAGGTGGGTGTGGGGAGCAGATGTGGACTTATAAAGCTTCTTCGAATGGTCTTTTAATTTGTATTTGTAGCCCAGTCACAGCCCTCTTAGGGAGCTTATTATATGGGGCTTGTAATTAGATGAAAAGGGCAGTTATGAGAAGGCTATGAGTATCCATGGACCTCCAAGTACAGGGCTGAGAGCAGTCAGCTACGCATTGGGCCTGACAAACCCTAACTCCTAAATTATATAACCCCGTTATAGTAGTTTCCATTTTCTTTTCCATTATCCCAATATATCCCCAATATATCCCCAATATAACCCCTATGTAAACCCTATGGAACCCCATTTTAGTAGTTTCCATCTTTCCATTAAGCCAATATTTCTCCAATATACTTTAGACCCTGAAACGCACCAAGCACAGAGCTTTTGATGAGACCCCAGAGCTTTTGCCAAATGCAGGCTTCCAAAATGGGGGCTGGCCAGTCCCTTTTGGGAACGTACGGCTTTCCCAAAATTAGGGCTACTTCTTTGGAGGATACTGACTACGGATTATGTGGAGATCCTGCTCTAAATTCTGAACCCAAAGCAGTACTGGTTCCGAGGGGTCTGCTTCATAGATTTCCATGCTTCATAGATTCCAGGATATGTCAGCCCTTACGACGGGTACTCTCAAAAAGGTATCCCCAATATTTGGAAACCCCAAACCTAACATGACCCCAGTTGTTTTGCTATGCCCCCGTAATTCCCTGGATGAACCCTAGAACTCCTTCAAGGGCAGTTTCGCAAAATATGTTCCTGTGAGTGGAACCTCCCGAAATCTCGTTATCACCTCTATACATGTTTCCGAAGGGCCACTTTTTTTTGAGGAACGAGGGATCCCAAAATCTTGCAAACTTTAACCCCCATCCCAAACCCTCAAGGAACCCCAATTTTTAAACCCTACAACCCAAACCCCAACCTAAACCCTACACCCTAAATCCGTAGGGCTCAACCCTGAACCCTCAAAGCCAAACGCTAGGGAAGGGTCGAATGAGACCAGAACTGTGATGGTCATGATGCAGTTCAAGCAAGGGTCACGTTCGGTTGGTGGCAGAGTTCCAAATGGTAGCTTCCCAAAATGCGGGGACCCTATATAGACTCCAAGATATTATGCTCCTATATAGACTCCCAAATACGAAAATCCTTATTATGGGACCTTTATATAGACTCCAAGATACTTTAATCCTTATTATGGGACCTTCGAAAAGGGTACCCCTAATTTTGGGAAACCCCGAAATGGAAGATTCCTGAAGGGCTGACATCAGAGTCTTCCACAAGGGTGACATCTGAGAGGGCTCAGAGCCTTCGGTTTAGGGTTTAGGGGTTTAGGGTTTAGGGTTTGGAGGAGTTCCAAGCGCAGCTTGTTTTTTTGTGGGCACAGTGAGGTGAGCGCTCAAAGAATCCCCAATCCTAAACCCTCAACCTAATCCCCAACCTAAACCCTCAACTGCAACCCCTAAACCCTAAACCTAAACCCAAAGTCTCAGATTTCCCTGGGGATTGCCCCAGCGGATGATGCGGTCGGCGGCTCAACGGGCAACACAAAGGCGCTGCGTTCAGTTGAGGGGGCTAGACCTGAAGGTCTAGGTTTTAGGGGTTTAGGGTTTAGGGTTTGGGGTGAAGGCTTTAAAGTGTTTATCAGCTTTCAGGGAGTTTATGGGAGCATGGAACCGCCCGTATGGCAGCGCTGAGTACGGTACTACAGGGTACTTTCAGGGGATCTGTGAGGGGTATCTGGTAGGTGTTCTTGGGGTTTAAGGTTTGAGGTTTCGGGTTTGGGGGACTTCGTTTAGGGTTTTCTTAGAAGGTTTCAGGTTCAGGCTTCAAGATGTGACCTGTAGTGTAAACTTCTTAAAGGGGATTATCTAGAGGCAAATATAGGGGACTTTATAGGGGTTATTGAGGGGGATACTAGGAGTTTAGACGATGGCTCATATAGGGTATAGTTTTTTGTGTGTAAGGTTTGCAGTGACGGTGGAATTTGGTACAAGTTTACTTTCAGTCATAATTTGCATGGTTAGGGTCAATAGTCCATGGCCTAGAGTTACATTAAGACATACCCCATATTCTTTCTACTCGAGGGGGACTATAGGTTTTCCTTTTGGTCAGGTTGCCGTTTCCCACACCTGAAGAGTAGCATCATCGTCAAGGGCACTGGGAGGGGCGGGGGGTTTGGAGGGTTCAGGTACAGCATAGTGCAGGTTTCACGAGGCTTAGCAACAGAACCACAGTTCAGTGTTCAGGAGATAGTTAGGAGTTTGTCAAACTTACCCCGTTAGACTTCTTGATAAGGACCTTAATCTTCCCTTCGTTCTAGCCACGTATCACTGAAGCAGTTCAGGGAGTAAGGTTGGCTTCAGGGTTTAGGCTTTGTTCGCGCGAAGACTTGGAGTTCTCGACCCATATCTTGGACCGATCCCCTAGATACCACCGAACCTTTCGCTGCTCATCCTTCAGTTTCTGTGGTCTCTCGGCTTCCTACCGAGATGGATGTTGTTGTCGCGCAGGTCGTCATCAAGAACCCCGACGGTAGCACTGTGGATGTGGACTCCCTAAATGTCTCAGACAAGATGAAGGACTTGCTGAAGGTTCATGGAGCTGGGACAGTGGGGGCACTGGGCATGTTGCGACAATTTTAGGATCAATACCCTGGTATTCGTCGGTGCGTTTGAAAAGAGACCATTGTTTAGGCGCCAGATCGTGCAGCCTTGCAGAAGCCATACACTCATCTGTCCCCTGCCCATCCAGTTTCCACTTGTTTGCAGCTTGCTTCCGAGCTTGATGACAGGGTGTAGGGGTCAGAAAGGAGCAGGCCATTTGGCCTGGAGCATGGTAGCTTTCCTGCTCAAAGCCCCGCGAGGGCCCAACCCAGCTCCATTGGAAAGGCAGTCGACTCTGACGGCGGTGGTACGCTGGATGATACGAATGTCCAACATGCCCTGCAGCTCTTCGGAACGATGAAGGCCTTCCCGTCCAAGTGTGAGAGGAGGGAGTGAGAGTGTAGAATGTACAGAAAGCTTATCCCCCATCATTCTCAGAGAATGATAGTATAACATAACGTACCCCCGCTACCCCAGTTTCATTATTTTTCTTCCCTGATCATGATTATATGATCATATGGAAAACCTTCAGCTGTAGCCTGCTGGTCCCTGAAAGGAGGTGTTCGGCAGCAAAGGCACCATGTCCCACAAAGAAGCTGAGAACGGTCTTCACCTGTTGCAGCAGCTCTTCAAGGAGAGGGTTTAGTTTAGGGTTTAGGGTTTGGGATTGCTGAAGTAGCCTTCAGTCCCAGGCCTCCAGCACTGGTGGTCGAAGTATGAATCGAATGTAAATGAGGAACGGATGTCAAAAAGGCATTGCGAGGAAAGATTCAGTCCAAGACCAGGCACAGCCCCCAGACCATGATCGCAAGGCACTATCCCTATCTTTGCCTTCAGCGCAAACAGCTCACAGGGCTTGCGCCCAAACTGAGGAATGCACATTCTGCTTCGGTCGTGCTCTGACACATCAATATTCTTGTTCCAAATCGGCACCGATGAAACTTTCTCTTTGACGTGTCAGATATTGATTGGGAGTCGGTTTCTAAAAAGAACAGCGGTTTTGATCGCCTTTCCTGAGAAGAGCTCTCTATCTGCTGGCGGAAACAAAATTTTGATCAAACTGAATCGTCAGACGTTGAGCTTTTAAAGCGTTCAGGATGCCATTGGTGATGCAAGGTTTGATAACGCATCCGCAAGTTGCTGGTCAGCGTCCACCCAGAGGAACTGAACACCTGTTGCCCAGTTTTTTTGATAGACACTTCAAGGGCAAGTCTACGTTCTTCACGTTGAAGACCACTAGTTTCAACCCTCACAGCCGAGTCAACAAAGTTCCTACTACCCGCAGCAACAACAACAGACACAATCTGTTCCAACGCACTATCCATTCTGGTAACAAGTAGGGTATTTTCATCAAACCACTCAACAAGCATCTGCTTGATGTACCGATGTACCCATTTGGAATTCGGTAGCTGCCGAGCTTCGGCACACTCTCCCTAAGGGTCCAAGTACCAAATAATCATATACTGACCCAAAACCTGTACTATAATTACTATTACCCAAATCCCAAGTACCTAATTATTGGGTACATGGACCCTCTGGGTCTTTGCAGCATTCTCCTCTGCCAGGCTATCGGAGATTAGGAACTGAACCCTCCCGTCAGCACAGAAGCATCAACCAACATAGTCAACAAACCACCTTGAGACGATCCATCCTTACGACAAGCATATGGGCCATCATGGTAGGTCAGGAGGTTTGGGGTTTAGGGTTTAGGGGTTTAGGGTTTAGGGTTTTAGGGTTTTAGGGTTTAGGGGTTTGGGGTTTAGGTGGCTGAATGTGTTTCGCGCCACGATTGACACGCCAAGGGTGACCCTAATTTGCTTTTGCCCATCTTCAGTCACCAGCTCTCTGATTTGCTCCCTCCAGCTACGGCTGAGAGGCATTTAGAGCAAGTGGGTTATATTGGGGTTATAGGGGGATAATGGAAAAGAAAATGGAAATTACTATCGTATATTGGGCTTATATGGGGATAATGGAAGAGAAAATGGAAACTATTATAATGAGTCTTGATTAAATTCAATGAGAAGTCTTCATGTTGTTTGACTTCACAGCTGCAAAACATGGTGCTTTCATGTTGGAGGTTCTTCAATGACCCGAAAGGACAGCTGCTTCTGAGGGCGTGGATACGATTTTTCACAAAGTTGTCCTGCTCCGCAGCACAAGAGATCATCAACATGAATGCCGACAAGTCCTGTTAAGTGGCCTTTGTATTATACCCACCAAACGCATGGTTCAAGTTTGGATTGGACCCAACCCTGTTTTTTGAGTTCTTCGCCGAGTTTCCTTCCCAAGCTCCTGGAGCCTTCATTTCGTGGGGCCCGAGATTTAACATTTTCTAACGTCATCTGAGGGTTCGGCAAATATCTCTCTTTCATACTCAGTCTTGTCACCATTGAGTAAAGCCGTTTTGATATCGCCAGCGTAGCAAGGCCATTTACGTTGCGCACTCAAACAAAGGATCAAGTTGCGGTTCTAAGATTACAAGGATTATATACTCATATAGGGGTAATATACTAATAAAGGGGGAAAATAGGGATTATATAGGGATCATGGAAAAGAAAATGGAAACACCTGCTCCGCTACCAGTGCTGAAGTAGCCCTGAGTCCCGGGCCTCCAGCACTGGTAGTCGAAGTAGGATCAATGAAGATCGAATGTTAATGAAGAACGAATGTCAAAAAGGCGGTGCTGCGAAGTGCAGATGCCACTGCACATGCGGAAGCTGCCTCCATTGTGCACACACATATCTAGATTCCTGCTCCAAATCATTAAGGGTTTAGGATTTCGAGTGTAAGGTTCAAGGTAGGCTCGAGGATTTCTACCTTACTCCATACCCAAAATCTGCGAGTTTTCATTGTGTTCCCAGCGTAATGCCTTTGTGGGATCCACAGCCTTGTTACCTCCTGAGGGGAGACCTCTATCTTGAAACGCTCGACAGATGGTTGCAGGACAAGGCGGCTAACGCGCATGAGGTCTCGTACATGCACATGCCCGAGTGTGTCCAGGACACATTCCTTAAGCAATGGGGTTTTAAGGTTTTAGGGTTTAGGGGCTTAAGGTTTCATGTCATTTTGAAAGTCCGGGCTAGCACGGACTAGTGACCTGCTTTCTTCACTAGTCATGAGTAAGTTCACGAAGGGCTTGCTCATAGTCATCTACTCGGAGGTCTATCGGTACCTGAAACGTCCGTGTACTTGTACCTTCATCTCAGCTCTAGCCCCATACAGGGTTTTAGGGGGCATATACTTGGGTTTAAGAACCGTTAAAGTAGGTCTTGAGTGCCCATGGCTGTTCAAGTTTGGGAAGGCAAAGAGACAGCTGTACCATTTCCGGTCCGACCGGGATCCCTCCAAGTAAGGGTCTTACAGAGGGTGAGGGTAATGGTGGCCTGCTATAATGATTCTAGGATGCTGGTGGCTTAATCTCGCTATTCAGGTCCCTTAGCCCTAAACCCTCAGCTGCAAACTGAAAACCCCAAACTCTAAACTTTACGTAGCTCCAAAGCATGCCAGGAAGTGATGAAGGAGTGGGACTTGGATCGAAGCGGCAGCGTGAGTGTAGTGGAGTTGTCCGCAGCGGCGAAAGCCCACAGGAAGGTCAAGGAGGAGGGAAGAATCATGAGGAGGACCTAGTTTAGGTTTTCGTGTTTTGCTCTGATCCACTCCCCCAACGCCGCCAATCATGAAAACTTCCAACGTACCCTGTAGTGCCATATTACATATTTACACGTTAAGGGTGATTATTTTCTAAGGGGGTGGGTGGGGGGTTTTTGTGAGGGCAAGGGGATTAGAATGACAGCCTCCTCGGCCTGATCAGGAGACGGTATTTCAAGGTTGCTTCACGGTTTAGGATTGAAGGGGATATTCCTGCAAAGCGGTCTCTGCTGAGTTAAACAGGCCTGAAACGATGGTGATGCAGAGTCGAAAGCTTCGAT